AGGTGCAGCCAGAGGAGCCGCGGGAGAACCTGCAACTGCCTTGGCTGTGCCTACCTCTCCCCAACTGATCCAAATCTCTGAATTGGCACTGAAATGGCATCAAAACTCCCGATCCGAAACACCGAAACAAATCACTGTCCCTCCAAAATGGCCAAATCTGAAACAGAAATGAAACCGCTGTTTCGCCCAGCCCTAGTAATTAAGCCTTTGTTCCAAAAATAAGGACTTTAGTAAGTTTGGGTCATCAGCTGCCATAGTGGCTAATAAGGAACTTCTCCTTAGTCTGGTCAAATTTTAGTTACCCATGGCAACCAAAGATGATTTAATTTCTAAGTTTGTTAGCCATGGAGCCAAAAGTAATTTGTATCAGCTGAAGACTTAAAGGTGAATATTTGAAACCTTTCATTCTTTTGCTAGTAATACTTAAGAGGTCTAAGTTGAAGGCAACATCTGTGGGGGAGGGCAAGGAGTTTGTCATATTGGTAACCCAGGAGCAAATCTAGACAAGATGACAGTGAATAGGTTCGCTTTAAAAGAATTTATTTTCTCGAAGACTATATATATAGTGAGACATTCAGTGAATCCCCTTTTCCTTCATTTGGCTAACAGGAGTTGCTGAACTTGCATATCCAAGACAGCACCTCAGGTGCAATGTGGCTGTCAAGAGTAGGTTTGACAGTGTGTTGAACTTCTCATTTTCTCTCAAGCTTGACCTCCTACAGATCTTCCATGCATGTATTTGTCTGTCTAGAAGGGATATAATTTTATTATAAACCTTTACATTGAAATGGGAGAGTTAAACAGAATATTTTTGTTTTTATTTATTTATTTATTTTTTTTTACAAATTCTTTCAAGGAGTACAACTTAAGTAAGTTGGGTTTCTGCACAGGAAACAATGATGGCAACACGGTATGGTGTTGGCTTCTTAAGAAGGCATTTTCATATTGATGAAAACACTAGCTTCTGATTAAACCTCCCTTTCACACTTACAATAAAAATTAGATAAGTACAAAAATAGCTTTGTCCTCCCTTAGCAAAGATTTAACATTACTGTACTGAGGTCCTGTTAACCTTTTTGTAAATGTAATCGAAAATTAGTGCTAGAACACTTACTAGTATACACTTATTATATGTTAAACTAAATTAGACTTGTCAAATGGACAAAATAACTTTGGGTTCCTGATTGAATTTGCACTAACTGAATTTTGAGAAATATTAATTTGTAGTAGGCCTGTCATTAGTATGGGCGAGTCAGATTACACTGTCTGTTAATTTTCCGAACTAGTATAGGTCCCCATCCTTTCTTATCCTGCACTGAAGTCCGTGTTGAATTTTTAACATTGTAATTACTTTCCAACTAATAGCTTTCTGTATTGCAAGCTTGAATACATACAAGCTCATGTACCAAATGTAGTATATTATTGAGAGCTCTCTAAAACATGAACCTTAATACTGAAAGGAAAGACTGGAATGCTAGTCAGGCAAACCTTTTCCCTAATGTTCTTCAAGCTTCCCTGTTGATCATAAATTCCTCTTGAATTATTTTTTTTAACTACACTTTACTATAGGTTTAATCTCACAATTTATACAAAATTCTACTCTTGGTTAATGTAGTTAGTGTCATAAATTACATTTTATATCTCTGCTAATATTGTTTACAGAAGCACTTTAGGTCTGTTCTGTATAAAAAATGTTCATGTTGAGATTTTCTGCTTTTAACATTGTTTTTATAAAACATTTATTTTTATGCAATTTGGATGCTTTTGTTGCATGGATGTTTAGGTCTAATACAGTAAATTAGTTGTGTTGTATGATGGCTTGAATTATGGTTGTAGGGGAATACACTTTTTCCCATTAGGAACTGCAGAGTTATCTGGCTGGGTGTTGGTAATTGATTTACACTTTAAGTGTGTCTACACGTCACCATATGGTGACATTGCTACAGCGCTGTGCTTTAGTACGTCCTTTTGGAAGTACTAAAGCACCAGGCAGTATGGGTGGTTACCGCACCATGCGTGCAGTGCATGGTTGGATTTTGCCACTATGTTGCCAAAGTGGTGCACTATACCAGGGAAGTGCACCGCTATGGTGACATAGCTGGCAATCACATGTAGACCTGCGTGATAGCCATAAAGCATGCTATAGCAATATGTAGACGCGCCCTTTGAGATGAATCTTGTGATGTGCAAGATGGAGTCCTCACTTAGTCATAGTTCCCTCTAAAATGTGTAACTGCCCATTTTGTTTTTGTCCAAATTTGTATAGCATAGCCAAGTCAAAAGTGAGTTTTTAATTAGGGAGCATATTTGCCTTGATTTTTAAGCATTTTGCTGAAACAGCTCTTGTTTTTAACAGTGGATTCAAGAACTAAGAGAACTTTTGTTTTGATGGAGGCTTGTATGTATAGTGGGGAAGGAGGGAGGGTATAGCTGAAGCCTGGAACCTCAAAATTAAAGTGTGGTTTTCTGCTTTTAGGGAATGTTTGATCATTTGGAAGGGGAAGGATTAGGTGCACTGGTACTCAATTTTTCATTTATATGATCCTTCACTTTGAACTTCCTTTCTTGTTTTCAGCTTTTGTCACGACTTAAAGGTTATCTAATTCCCAGGAACACACCAGAGTTCAGATTTTTCGATATGGAAGGTCACAAAAAGAGTATTCAGAGGTAAGATTTTAACTTTCCTGCATGGTGGATTTTTTAAAATATGTGTAAATGCCTAAATACTTCTCCTTACGTAACTAATTAAGAGCTATCTATTCAAGAGAGTGAAAGGAATTTACTTTAATTATTAGGCATAGCTTCTCTGTGTTTAAGGGCTTAACTGGTACACAAGGTAGGGCTTGAAAGATGTACCAGGATCCTACAAGCAGGTGACCCACATGAAAGAGGGCCCAGAGCAAATCTTGCACTTGGGTAAGATAATGGCTGAGCACTTAGCTGAGCATACCTCATCGGAACCCTTTAGGATACTGGAAAATGAGATGTAGTCAGATATAACCCTACCAATATGATCCAAAGATAGGGAGCCTATGTTTCATAGTGGTCTTCTTGGGACGGTATGTGGGATGGTATCGTGGACATAGACAGGATAAGGTAAGGAGCAGCGTGTAATTCATTCCTATTTTTTGTCCCCTGCGTGCACCTCCCCAATAAAGCATGTCATTTTTAAGAATGAAGTAAATTGCATTGTGTCAGTGCTCTGATGAATAGTGAAACCAACTGGTTTCTTGTTAACTTCAGTGTTTCTGCTGAGTACCCTGGCTTTGGTGCAGAGTACAGTCCTTCACTACTTCAAACTTTTAAAGGGCTTGAGTTTTTTGTTTTGCCTCTTAAGTTTCCCAAATAGCAATAGGACAGATTGGTTCTTGTAAAATAGTTCCACTGCTTCTACAAACCTCTGGCCTGCAGCAGTAAAACTGACTGAACTCCCGAAAACTTGATTTTGTTGCTGTTGACACTGGCCAGCCAGCTTCAACCAAGTATTGGTCTGAGTGCAGAAATATGTTACTAATTGTGCCCAAAGACTTAGACTTTGTATCTTTTAGTGTTTTGATGATCAAGAGGTCTGGTAAGTGGAGGAAAGGAAAGATTGTGTTTGGAATTCTCAGGTAGTCCCATGCCCTTAATGCTACCTTTCTCTGGCATTTATTCAATCTCTCCAAGAGAAACCCAAGCTAAGATTTATTTTCAAATCTAGCAGACTGAAAACAGACGTGGAGTAATCTCAGTTTTCTTAGTGTATCGTCCTCTTGTTTCTCTTATTTGTTTGCTGTGAGTCTCCTGGAATGGATTCCTTATGCTAGGAATTTATCTTCTCTGTTCCTCCTCTTCCTCCTTCCCCATCCAACAAAAAATCTTGAAAGCAAAAGCTTTTGTCAACCTTTATCTACCACCAGAAGTGATCGGCTTATTGGGTAATGGCGGTAGAGCAGTTCTGAACCAATACAGGCACTTGTCAGAAACTGTATGTGCCACAAAGCTTGTAAGTATGTTCAGAAGGAGGGAGAGAAGCTAAGTTAATAGTGCTGCCCATTGGAGTGGCATGAACTTTCCCCCTGTTGAGAGGTTTGAAGGAGGGCAGGAGCTCAACCACCTACCTTTCCTTTTGCTTTTATTACTACTTGCATGAGATGCTCTACAGCATGCTACCCAAGTCCTTTTTGAAGGAAACTAGCTACCTGTTTGCTAGTACACTTTTTTTTTTTTTTCTTAATGTTACAAAAATTAATTGCTTTCCACTTTGGGTACAGTTTGTACTTCAGTTTGTTCCCAATATCTTTAGAATGAAGAATTGTCATGGAGTTAAAACATCACTGTTTGGAATCTCTTAGTGCAGGCTTCCCAAAGTTTTTATGCTGCGACCCAGCAGTCATAGCTGACTGCGATTAATTTTTGGTCGGCAGACAGGTAAGGATAACCCCCCACCCCGGGCGAGGGGGTGGGCCAGACACTGTGCTGCCGCAAGCCCTGCAGAAGCCATGGCTGGTTAGTCTGTGGCCACTTCTGGTCTGGCAGCTGACTACTGTGGACTGGCAACTGACCCACCATGGCCCGGGGATTGAGAACCCCTTTCTTAGTGTTTGAGAAAAGGATCTCTTTCCTAGGTTCAAAAAAAAAAAAAAAAAAAGCTAAGAATTGCTGTCTTCAAAATTGTGGTAGTGAAAGATGGTGTCAGCCCGTACAGTGATTTAAAAAATAATCAAGCTTGCTATTCCCTAGAGTAAAAGCTAGATATTTTTGTGTCCTTGGAGGAAAAGTTGAAGAAAAACTTTGTATTGCTGCATTGATACAGGACAGTGAATATAATACTATCAACCATACTGTAGTAGGGTTAAAGTGTTGTAGCCCAGCTCGCCCCCTATATCCAATAAAAGATATTACAAAAAAGTCTTGCCTCTTGAACATTGCTAGCAACAGCATTGATGCAGGACAATGAATAGCATCGGTATCAGTAGCAATATATCTTGAAAGGCAGATGGCCTCATATTTGACAGCTTTCTTAAACATGCGTGCACACTATCACTTTCTGCAAATAGAATTGAGTTTTTTGTGTACAATATTAATATTAGAAACAGCTGCTGATGTTGGGGAACATTTCTTTGTTCTTTAGTTACTATGCAAAGTGATCTTGCAGTTCATGTTTACCATAATGGCCAATTCTTTATTACCTTGTGACTGAAGTTATAACACTTAAACATATGAAAGACAATCATGATAGCCTGGTGAATTTGCTGTCTATATGTTCAATAGCACTTTTTAAGCATAGTGAGTGTGTTTTCCCACAAAATCATTAAAACAAGCCCACATGCATACAGAACAAAGCATAATTTAATATTTGCTACAGATATGAGTGGCTTGGGTATAGATATTTTCTAGTTCCATTAGGACTCTTTCTACTTGCTTGATTCAATAGCAGACAGTGATACCGGAGGACTAAATAGGGCTTCTTTTCATGACCTCTGTATTTAAGACTAAATGACCATTGTCAGTCTTTAGAAATCTTACTTAAAAATCTCACAGTGCTAACTTTCAAATCTGAATCTGACTGGCACATTAATTGTGTTTTATAAAGGTAGAACTAAATGCAAGACAAAATGCATCAAAAAACCACCAGGAGAATAAAAACGAATTTTCTGGATACAGTAGGCAAACCAGAGTGCTCAGTTCAAAGAGTAACCATAGTTTAATCCATTGTAGTAATGACTAGGTTAATTGTGCTGAGTAGGACACTGAAAGATATAAAGACATTTTTAAGGGGGAGGGGAGTGAAAAAACAAAAATCTTTGTGGCAGCTTTTTATAAACATGCCATGAGTCGCAGGCAGGCATATTGCTAAATGAACAAGAACACAGGAAGCTGAGCTGATTACAGTTTGGTATAGAATCCAGAGATTTCAGTATCCAATCTCATGGTATAACTACTAGACAATGCTGCCTCCTTTGTAGTCAATAATATTTGAAATCGAGGTCCATGCATGTTTTGTACTGGTCTAAGTATGAAGACACATACTAACAGGGACCTACCTAAATTGTGGCAGAAGTGCACTGCTTAGTGGCTCCTTTAATCTTGCTCTCTACTGCATGCCCTTCCTCCCCTCACTGCTGATTGGCTAAGGGACCCTGGCAGCCCCGCTGCTTGCTCCTCATCAGGTGGAAGGCAAAAACTGTAGCTTTAAATATGCCATGGTTTCTGCCTCCTGGCCAATCAGCAGCTAGTGGCAGGCTGCCAGGGCCTCTCAGCCGGTCAGTGGTGGGGAAGGGTGGGCATGGCAAGAAGAGCAACATTAAAGGAACCACTATGCAGTGCGCTTCCACTGTGATTTAGGTAGGTCCCTATTAATTGTGTGTGTGTGTGTGTGTGTGTGTGTGTGTGACATGCCTAGTAATACACTCTCACACAAGATGATCTGATGTGTGAGTAAGGAATTTTCCTGTGGGGTGGTAGGCCTGCCCAGTTGTACTATGCTTTCAGTTCTTGGACCACTCTTAGCATTGTCATGAAGGATGCTCTCGACATCTTTTTGTTCTGGTTGGACTAAGACACTGTTTGCCCTGCGACTAAAAGGATTCCAAGTGAGTAACTGGCCCAAAACCAACAGATTTAAGTTTGAGGAAGGAAGAAACCACAATCAGATGAATTTTGAAGTGGGGTATTAGATTTGCTTGCAATTCAGAGTGTTATGATTTTAAAACTAAGGGGCTGCTTTAAATAGGGATGAGTGAGGGGATAAACGAAACTCAAAATCATTGCCATGAATATGTATTTGTCATAAGTGATTGTCTATATCCTGTGAATGATGAGGTCTTCTTTCATGAAAATCTGTTCCAAGTTATCAGTACGTTTGACAAATTCCCTACATAATTACCTTCAATTATTCTTTTTAGTGCTATAAATGGAAAATGTCAAATGTATGCACTTCCAGATACTCAAACCCGTAAAAATCCCAGCTCTTTTAAGTATATTAAGGACTGATGAGGGTTGCATTCCTAGTATTGCAACACAAGGTGTTCTCTGTTCTAGACTGTAAATATTTATCTCTTGTCAAACCAGAGCAGTTACTACTGGGAACGGATCTGGCATGCTTAAAGGTTTTCCTTAAGGAATTTGTTTCCTTTTATTTACAGTGTTAATCGTATATTTAAATTCCAGGGCCCTGATGTATAGCTCTGAGTTTTGTTCTTAATACGGGCATAGAAAACCAAGATTATCAAACAGTCTCTAAATGCAGATAACTGTAATTTTCTGAGCTTATGCTGTAACTAGCTAACAAGTGTGTAGGTGTGAAATTCCAGCAAATCTAGGAAATGGTATCAGCGTGTTACTAACTGAGAAGTGAGTTCGCAAACCATGCCACTTTGAATTGTGTTTTCCAGCAGTCAGTTCTCAGATGCAAATCAATATCTAATAATTTTAAAGTGGTTGTAATGGGAACAAATCATAAAGCCACTTAACCCTCCCAAGTAAAGGGTCTTGCACCTATTTGCTTCTTTCAGTTCTTTGTGTAAGGTTCTGTTTTTTGATGGGAGTCTTTCAGTTATGCTCTTGTTTTTTGTTTTTTTTTTTTATCCATGAAATGGTCCATCACAGCAAGCTTCCTTTTTAGAGCTTATCCTTCCTGTTTGTTATCCATTCTCTGATTGGCAATGTTTAATTCATTTAAAAAA